ATTATTATTATTATTATTAAATTAAACAATTGCTAATAGCAGCCAACTTAATTCATGTGAATTGTGTACTGCTAGGCACCTTTGGTTTCCTCTTTTTGTGTAATTTAGATGGAAAATGTGTGCCTTTTTTATCGTTTGAGTCACTTATCAAAAGTTGCTAAATGTTGCCAAATAAATTTTTAAAAATAGCTAAATTTGTTGCTAGGTGTTTTTGGAAGAAAAAGTTGCTAGGGTAGTCTGAAAAGTTGCTAAATCTAGCAACAAAATTGCTAAATTGGCAACACTGAATACATTTTCTATTGATGGTCTGATTCATTTCCGAGTCGATTCTTTCGAACCGTTCGTTTCGGAGAACTATTTTTTAAACGATTCCCTGCGTGATATTTTACATACTCAGGTTTTTCTTTTCGATTTTTTAAAATCGGTTTCGTATGTGTGTTTATAAAACTGTAATAAAACCAGGCTGTAGGTGTATTTCGAGTACGTTGTAACCATAGTGCGAACTATGTCCCCCAAAGTCCACGGTATAGTTCGAACACTGGTTGTAACTATTCGCCACAGGTTCTCGTTTCGAGAGTTGTTCAGAATCAGTGAAAAGACCTGACTCCTATGATTCGTTTAAAAAAAAATCTGTAGCAAATCAGGATAAATGTTTAAATTAATACATTTATTTCCTCACTAAAATTTTAACTGCTAAGTCAATGTATATCTGTCATGTCACAGGCAAGACAAGTGTTTGTGGAATTAAGACTATTTTACTATTTTGAAAGTATATTGTCGTGAACGATAGTGGTCTTTGGCGTTTATCAAATATATTAAAAGTTATGTTTTATTTCATTAGTTGTAAAAGTCCCATTCGATGGTTCTACAAAAACAAGATCGTGTCAAATCCAAACCTCCAGCCTCCTCTCCCACATAAACCTTTACAATCTAGAAACAGAATAGAAGTCACAATAACCAACATTTCAAAAGATGTATTGAGCCAGCCTCAACTAAGCCCCAAATAACAGGACTGATCCAGAAATGCTCCAGAGCCACTTCCCATCACCTCTCCTGAAATAACTGCACTGACTGGATTGTAAAAATGACACCTGGAAAGCTTCTCAATCCAGTCCGAGCCTAGTTTTGATCTGAATATTCAGTCAAACAGACACTATTGCTCATAGAAGGTAAAGTGATAATATGTTGGCCCTTGGCAAGTGGAAGTTATAACCTTTTTCAGTGGGTTGAAGTAGCTTTAGTGTATCTTGGACCAGACCTTTAACCAAATCCCTAATAAATCAGACTTTCTAATATTAACTTGAATTAATACAACTTAAAGTTTGTTTGGAAAATCTCCCTGCATCAACAAAAGATAATTAGACCAATTAAAATGTGAAAAAAGAAAATGGGCAGGAATGAAGTATGACCAAAACATTCCCTAATGTCATCTTCAGATGTGACACTTGTGGAAAGGGATGGCAGTTAGAGAAAAGACAATGTTCTTTGCTATAGCATCACAACAATGGAGTGCTTAGGAATTCTGTTCACTGAATTCCAATTCTAATGTCCCTGTAAGTCATCAAATTCTCCATGGATGTGTTCTCGATCCTAATTGTACAAAACTACTTCTCAGATAAGGGAGATGTTCTTTCTTCAGAACCCTGAGAAATAGCTGCAAATCGAATTTGTTTCTTTCCCAAACCACTTAATCTAATGTAATGCAGTTTCAAATGAACCTTCGGGCCAAACAAAGCATGTTAAACAGTCAGCAGGACATGTTGTGAAAAACGCAACTCTCCAAAAGAATTGCGAAGCTTTTTTAATTACATTTTGAAAAAATCATTGCGTTCCAGTTGAAATGTAAATTGAGTGCTTCAAAAGAGTAAGTAGATTCATTATGAAAGTACAAATTTGTTGCACTCGCTTGGGAGTCCAAATATTAATGACATATTTCTCCATAACGGGGAGGCAGAAATTGTTTAAACACAGGCTTGAACAGTGACTCTTGATCAAATTTTTGATGGCTAAGAGGATAAAACAGGGCGAGAGTGAAATGCTGATGTTTTTGCTCTTCGGGGGTTTCGGGAGAGGGTGGAGTTGTGCCGCCTCTATTTAGCTGCAACTTCATTCTCAGCTGGTTGGCCTGTAGCAGTCTCTGCAGTTTTGGAGGCCTATAACAAAATGCAGACGCATGAATGAATCTTTTATATAATTAAAATGAATGGGAACAGTCACGCTCCAAAATGACAAAAGGTCTGTCTGTTCACTCCAAGGACGATAACTATAACAATAAACCATAACGATAATTATAACGATACAAGCATTCTAATTCTAGGAAACAACTATAACAATGACACATTAGAATTATATTGTTGTAACACTTTCAGAATGATTTTTGCCAGCTGATAGAACTGGCATGCCATATTCCAAGTTATCTGAAGCCATACAATAGCTTTGTGGGAGAAACAGACTGAAATTTAAGTAATTTGCTGAAAATTCCTGTTCCCGTTGTAGTGCAAATGATCTGTAGAGGTGGAGACTGCCAACTTTAAAGTGACGTGACATGTGGCCAAGTATGGTGACCTATACTCGGAATTAGTGCTCTGCATTTATCCCATCCAAAGTGCACACACACACACCCGGAGCAGTGGGCAGCCATTTTTTTTGCTGCGGCGCCCTGGGAACAGTTGGGGGTTCGGTGCCTTGCTCAAGGGCACCTTAGTCATGGTATTGAGCGTGGAAGAGAGCGCTGTACATTCACTCCCCCCACCTACAATCCCTGCAACCTTGGGTTACGAGTCCGACTCTCTAACCATTAGGCCACGACTTCCCCTTTATAATAGCTTAAAACCTTATTTTGTTCCTCAAAGCTTCCATAATGCTGGTTTATGGCTTCTGAA